CATAATCCCACTGCTATCCTCCCCACCCCTCCAAACCCAGCACTCACGTGAACCCTTCAAACGCGGCGCTCTCTCCTCTCATCGCCGTTGCACCTCTCAGCTCCAGCACCTTCCCACCCTACCTACCTACCCCCCAGACCATGCACTCGCCTCTCATAGTCATGAATTGAGACGTCCCAAAACTCATAATCCCACTGCTATCCTCCCCACCCCTCCAAACCCAGCACTCACGTGAACCCTTCAAACACGGCGCTCTCTCCTCTCATCGCCGTTGCACCTCTCAGCTCCAGCACCTTCCCACCCTACCTACCTACCCCCCAGACCATGCACTCGCCTCTCATAGTCATGAATTGAGACGTCCCAAAACTCATAATCCCACTGCTATCCTCCCCACCCCTCCAAACCCAGCACTCACGTGAACCCTTCAAACACGGTGCTCTCTCCTCTCATGGCCGTTGCATCCCTCAGCCCCAGCACCTTCTCCCAGCCACACATAGCCATCCTCACACCCCATCCCCATCCCTTCCCATCCCTCCCAGCCCTCCCCCACCGCACTCACGTAAACCCTTCAAACACGGTGCTCTCTCCTCGCATCGCCGTCGCATCTCTCAACTCCACCACCTTCCCACCCAGCCGTGCCTCCCCCATACCCATCTACACCACACTCTCCACCACTTGTATGCACTTTCTGAGAACTTATCTAACAAGAAGAAGAAAAAAAACATTCCCGTACTCACGTGAATCCTTCAAACACGGTGCTCTCTCCTCGCATGGCTGTCGCATCTCTCAGCTCCAACACCTTCCCACCCAGCCGTGCCTCCCCCACACCCATCTCAACCACACTCCCCACCACCGTCTGCTGCTGCCGCTGCCTCTTCTCCGTTGTCGCTTTAGTAAGTGCCAAAAACCGGTCGATTCTCGACCGGGACTTAGTCGATCTAGCTTTAGGCATTCGCCGCATCCACTCCCCCTCCCGCCGCAGCGTGTTCGCTGCCCGGCCAATCGCGGCGGCTTCTTCGACTGCCCGCTTCGCCCGGGCAGCCAAAAAGGTTGAGTAGTTGCCCGAGTGGCGGAACGAGGTCCCCCGGTCTATCTCGAGCATTTGCGTGCAGACGGCGTCGAGAAAGTAACGGTCGTGAGAGACGAGGACGACGGTTAGGGAGGGGTCGGAGAGGGCCGATTGCATCCAATCAATGACTGCCACGTCCATGTGGTTGGTGGGCTCCTGCACGTGAGGGGGGGGAAGAAAAGGAATGGCTTTTGAGGCGCCTCAAAAGGGGGGGAAGAACAGGAATGGCAGATAGACAAGAGGGACGGGAAAGAGAGGCGGAGGGAGGAACATGCATGGGTGAGGCTCCTGGTAAGAGGAGGAGTGGCGAAAGGACAATGGGTGAGAGAAAGGTCTGACAGGGCTGATTGCATCCAATCAATGACTGCCACGTCCATGGGGTTGGTGGTGGGCTCCTGCATGTGATGTGATGTGAGGAGGAGGGGAAAAGTGAACTTCCTTTAGGTTTAGGGTTAGAATTGTGGCGAGGAATTTGCAACAAAGCCACTCACATCGAGAATGATGAGCTCTGGTTTTGCCAGCAGTGTCGCAGCCAGGGGGCCACCCTCTTCCTCTCCTCCTCTCCCTCCTTTCTCTTCCTATCTCTCCCTTTCCCTCAATCCCTCTCTTCCCTGACTCACATCATGTACAAAGCCACTCACATCATGCACAAAGCCACTCACATCATGTACAAAGCCACTCACATCATGTACAAAGCCACTCACATCATGTACAAAGCCACTCACATCATGCACAAAGCCACTCACATCGAGAATGATGAGCTCTGGTTTTGCCAGAAGTGTTGCAGCCAGAGCCACCCTCTTCCTCTGCCCGCCACTAAGCGACGAAACTTGCCGCTCCATAATCCCCCCGCCAACACCGCCACCACCACCGTTTCTCAAAGCAGCGTCCCCAAGCCCTAGGATCTCCAGCAGCTTCTCTGCTTCTGCCACCACGTCCCATGCCCCCATCGCCTCCACCCCATCCATGGCTCGCTGCAGCGCTGCTGCCTCTGAGGGCGTGGGGTCTGGTGGGGGTGAGGATGTTACACACACACACATAGAGTTGGTATGGAATGAGTAATGAGTAGACGCACTTGCCTCTCTGCCTCTCTGCCTCTCTGCCTCTCTGTCTCTCTGTCTCTCTGCCTCTCTGTCTCTCTGCCTCTCTGCCTCTCTGCCTCTCTGCCTCTCTGTCTCTCTGCCTCTCTGCCTCTCTGCCTCTCTGTCTCTCTGCCTCTCTGCCTCTCTGTCTCTCTGCCTCTCTGCCTCTCTGCCTCTCTGTCTCTCTGCCTCTCTGTCTCTCTGCCTCTCTGCCTCTGCCACCACGTCCCATGCCCCCATCGCCTCCACCCCATCCATGGCTCGTTGCAGCGCTGCTGCCTCCGATGGGGTGGGGTCTGCCGGGGCCACAAAGGGGGGGAATGGGGATGGGTATGTGGACGAGTGTAGGGATGGGGATTTGAATGGTACACACATGGCAGAATTGAACAGTGCCTCTCCCCACCCTGGCTCCATCCCTGTACAAGACGCCCCACAACAAGATTATCAAGACAAGAAACAGCTGACAACCCTCCCGCTCCCTTCATCCCTGCTTCCGTCCCCTTTATAAGCCGCCCCACAACACGCACCTCGGCCTTTCATCCTCTGAGCTGCTCGCTTGTACTCCCTCACAGCACGCATGGGGGCATTGTCCGCTGAAAGCACTGCCAACCAATGCCCCTTCCCCTCACCCGTGCTCTCATCCCCTTTACAAGCAGCTCCACAACCACGAACCGTATTCACACACCCACCTCGCCCCTTCATCCTCTGTGCTGCTCGCTCGTATTCCCTCACAGCGCGCATGGCGGCATTGTCTGCAGATAGTACTGCGTCTAGAAGAGACAGAGACGCGGGTAAATCGGGGTCCTGTTTAGGGTTCGGGGTTTGGGGTTTGGGGTTTGGGGTTCGAGATTTGGGGTTGGGGGTTAGGGATAAAGGAGGGCATGGAAAAGTGTTGACAAAACTGCGTTGAGAGCACAGAAATAAGCGGGCAGGTCTGGATCCCGGCGGGCAGGTCTGGATCCCGGCGGGCAGGTCTGGATCCCGGCGGGCAGGTCTGGATCCCGGCGGGCAGGTCTGGATCCCGGCGGGCAGGTCTGGATCCCGGCGGGCAGGTCTGGATCCCGGCGGGCAGGTCCGGATCCCGGCGGGCAGGTCCGGATCCCGGTTTACTCAACAACCTTATGTGCCTAAAGATAAGAGCAGCTAGGGTCTGACTGGCCGTGTAGCTATTGTTGAATTCACCTGAGCGAGAAACGCCAGGTTCAGGTGCCGCCGGCGCTGCACCTTGCCCTTATCAGGCGCGTCCATCCCCGCTAGTATCCTCAGCAATGTGCTTTTACCGCATCCGTTCCGCCCCAGCAGCCCCAGCTTCTGCCCTCTGCTTATAGTCACATCCAGCCCCTCGAAAAGAACGTCCATTCCGAAGCTCTTCGCCAGCCCTTCCCCCGATATAAGCGCCTCCCCGCCTCCGCTCGCGCCGGGCCTAGGCGCAACGGGGGCGGAAGCGGGGGAGGCGGAGCCCCCCACCGGGACATTCGAGGTTGCGGCCGTTGTAATCCGACTGGAGCGGGACTGCCTACGAGTTTGGAGGATGCGCGGAGCGGAATGGGGGGACGCGGAACCCGGGGAAGCAGAACGCGGGGAGGCGGAACTGGGGGAGACGGAACAGGGGGAAACGGAGGGGGAAGGGGAACATGCGCGCATTCCCCTGGCTGCGCCTTGCGTCGCGGCGGTTACTTTCCGGCTAGAGCAGGACCGCCGGTTTCCGGAATACCAGGGACCATTTCGCCGCGGCAAAAGCAGTGGCAGCGGCAATGGCGCTAAGACGAGGCTACGACTCGACATGAGGCTACTATTAGAAATGCTGGATTGTGCGGAGGATCGAGAAATGGGTACACTAGGCTGACGGTCCGAGCGAATGCAGAGGGACGGTGGCGATATTGAGCAATTATGGCAGGGAGATAATAGCGACAGCTGGGTGTAGTGAGGCATGGCGTCTGTAGTTATTTGCTAGTGTCAATAGCCAGCCGTACACCTACAGCGGCCCGCTATCCGTATACTGGCTGGATAGGGGGTTCATAGACTTGGAACACCAGGCTTTGATTAGCAGGTGATGGAGGGATGGCAGTCGCATGTGTGTTCGGATGGCATATATGGTGCCATTTAGCATAAGTGAACTGATACAGAGCTGTAGTTGTTTTGAGGCTCGATTGAACGGGGGAACTTCATAACGCGAATTGCCATGTCACCACAGTCAATAACACCAATCAGAAACAGTTTCCAAGATCCGATGGCCCACACTTCGTTCCACACCTAGTTACCCGATTTGTCACTCTGATTCTGTGTCATCCAACGCCTGCCGGGGCTGCTGTGAATTCGGCATCAACGCTGACAAATCATCGCCTTGCTGTGTACACACACATTCTCCTCCCAGGCCAGATGTTCGCACATTCTGCACTTCCGAACCAGACTGGAACCCCACCGGACCAGGTCAATTCACTTGAAGCGGCGGCGAAAACGTACCTTCAAGGTTGTCAAGTTCTGCTGAACGCACAGCTCTAACCTAGGGTTTCTCCTGAAATGTACCCGTTCAGCCAACAACCACGTGAAGCCGAACCGGAAACTTGACCGCAACAAGTTTCCGAAGCAAAAGCCACAGCTCTTCCGAGCCTTGGGTTTTCCGTCTGCCCTCCCTCCCTCTGCCTGCCGTGCATTCACTGCATAAGCTTGCTTGCTTCCCATTCGTCCATCCCGTTCGTCCGTTACTAACAAGATCCACCTGACATTATTGACCGTAGGTTTCTAGAGCTGCCGCTTCGCCTCCAGCTTTTCATGAGTGAGCGAATCTCGTAGTAATTCTGTAGGCTAGCCTGTGGGACGTAGTTTCTGACGCGCGCCATGGATGGTTGTGTTAAATAAGCACCCTTTCCTGTTTTCTCTTAGAATGCGGAAAGAAATAAGACATAGAGGAAGTTAAAAGTGGCTCCTCGCAGTCGTACCATGACCCAGCTGGTACCTACTGAATCCATTGTTTCGTTATTGACGGAAGGAGTCGTTCCCTCATGGAATCCGTGGATCAGGAGAACGAGATTGACACTAAGCTTCATTGACTCGATTTAAGATTCTTTCATTTCTCAAGGGGTCGTTGCCCCATGGATTTTGTCATTTTGGAAGATTGGATTGGCTTTATTATTCAGTTTACTAAAAAGTCTCGTTAGATTCTCATGGAGTCGTTTCCCCATGGAGTCCGTCGTTGTAGAGGAGGAGATTAACGATTGTAATTATCTTGTCAAAGAATAAAGTCGCTAGCTTCCCAAGAAGTGGCTTTGTCATGGAGTCCGTCATTCTGGAGGAGGAGGTTGACGCGAATTATGAGCCGACGGAAGAAGGTACTTCGGCTGGCTTCTTGATCGTTAACGTTGGCCCTCGTCGTTATCTCGCAACGCACCTGCCTAGCCGTGTCCTGTCAGCTCTTGCTAAGCCAAGCATTTTCCAGCACGAAAGTATCAGTTCTCTGGACGTATTTCACAAAAGCTTACTCGTGTGCTAAGTTCGACCGGGGACAAGATTCCCTGACGCACGTCTTGATTTTCAAAACACTGTCGTGGACGCCAGGACGTGTTTTACATGGATTCGCAGGCATTTTCTGACCGTTCCGTTTTGGATTTCTGACCGTTCCTCTTAAATCCCTGACCGTTCTGTTTGGATTTCTTTCCGTTCTTCCTGGATTCCTGACCGTTTCTCTTCTGCACTCCTCTGCTCCTCTCCCCTTTCCGAGCTCCCGGGGAAGGAGGAGGTGCTGGTGCTGTTGGTGACCCATCCCCTGTTAACCCCCTTGCCATCCAACCCCCATCCCTGCCTCTCTCGTTATGCTGGGTCCCTTGACCCTCTTGCGTTCCATTCTCAGAGATTTTGGAGTACGCGCGGTGGCTGGGAATGGAGCTTCCGGGGGAGGAAGAGCTGCTGTGGGTGGCGCGGCAGGGGCTGAAATCACCTCTGCCGCCCAACTGGAAGCCCTGGTGAGAGCCTCAACCGTGATGTGAACCGCCTGGTGTGCTGTGTGTTTTTTCGTTCCGTTGTTCATCATGAGCCGGCCTGATCCAAGTGGGTGGCGCGGCAGGGGCTCAAGTCGCCTCTGCCGCCCAACTGGAAGCCCTGGTGAGTGCCTCGTCTCGTCTGGTGCGCCGTTTCTTTGAGACGGTTCAAAAGATGTCGCCTCCCCCGCCACCTACCAGTGGCAAGGAGAACGGGGAGATATACTATTTCAACTTCCAGATGGGCGAGAGCGTGTGGGAGCACCCCTGTGACGACCACTACCGTGCCGACTTCCACCAGGAGAAGGCCAGGCTGCTTCTTGCACGCGCCGCTCCACCCCCTGCTGCTGCTGCTGGTAGTGCTGGTGCCGCTGCTGCTGCTGCCTCACGCTCTCCCTTCCCCTCCCGCACCCCCTACCCGCCCCCACCAGTGGCACGGAGGACGGGGAGATCTACTATTTCAACTTCCAGACGGGCGAGAGCGTGTGGGAGCACCCCTGTGACGACCACTACCGCGCCGTCTACCACCAGGAGAAGGACAGGCTGCTTCTTGCACGCGGCGCTCCACCCCCTGCTGCTGCCAGTGGTGCTAGTGGTGGTGGTGGTGGTTCTGCTGCTGCTTCTGCTCGTGCTGCTGCAGCTGGAGGTGGGAGCGTGGAGGGTGCGGGGAGGAAAGGAGGCTTTGGTGGAGTGGCGGGGCCAGGGGCGGGGTTGATGGGAGGAGGAGGAGGAGGAGGCAGCGGAAGAGGAGGCGGGGGCGGAGGAGGAGGGATGGGTGGAGAGACATATGTGCGGCAAGCATCCCTGCCGCCACAAAATAGAGGGGAGCATCACGGGAACTTGTTTCGCCAAGGATCGTTGCAGCCTAACTCAGCGGCTATGGTGAGGCTGTTTGAATGCACATATTTCCTCCGTTTCCCTCCTCCCTCCCTCCCGAAATTCCCCCTTTGCTCTCATCTTGGAGCCTCCTTGACCACACACTCACTGCCAGCTTCAAGGCACGCCCCTAGCACACTTACCGCATGACTTTCTTCACGCAGTCCATTTTCTTGTCATCTGCCTTCCTTCCTGCAAACCCTTGTCTCGCATTGCCGTGATGTTTCAGTCGACTCAAAATCGTCTTTTGTACTCACTCCGTTTCTTGTCATCTCTCCCCCTGCCTGCATGCCCTTCTCTTGTGGTGCCCTGCCAGCGCCAGCAGAAAGGGTCACCTGCACGCGCCCACGCCCAGCAGTCGCAGCTAAGGCCTCAGCAGCAGCAGCAGCTAAACCAGCAGCAACGCCAGCAGCAGCAGCAGCAGCAGCAACGCCAGCAGCAGCAGCAGCAGCAGCAATGCCAGCAGCAGCAGCAGCAGCAGCAGCAACCAACAGCACGAAGCTCAGCCAGTAAAGATTCGGAGAAGCTCCTACACCAAACCTCCTGGTCCCCCGAACCTCGCTCGGTTCAGCAGTCAGCCGCGGATGCCAGCCTGGCTCGGGCAGGCTCCGTGCCTGCGGTGACGAATGGCGCGAAAGGTCTTCCTGCTGAATCTGAGGAGGAGGAGGAAGGTGCGTGTATGTGTGTGTGGTGTGTGCGTGCATGCGTGTGTGTGTGTGTGTGTGTGTGTGTGTGTGTGTGTGTGTGTGTGTGTGTGTGTGTGTGTGTGTGTGTGTGTGTGTGTGTGTGTGTGTGTGTGTGCATGATTATGCGTGTGTGCGTGAGTGCGTGTGCATGTTCTGCTTACAAGTCAAAATGTCTCGCTTACACCTCCCTCATTCTTCTGCTCCCCCTCTCCTTGTGCTCCCTCTACTTCTCCATGACAGATTGGAGATGGTGGTGGTGCTGCTGCTGTGGTTGTGGTTTATTTTTTAGTCTGCTCAAAAATTGCTCCCCCTTTCCTTGTGCTCCCTCTGCTTCTCCTTGACAGATTGGAGCAGCTCTGACGATGATGGTGGTGGCGGTGGTAGTGTGGCTGCAAATGCTGCCGGTGCCGCTGCCGCTGCAGGTGGCACAGGCATTTCTGGTGGGAATGCTGTTGGTGGGATAACCATTCCTGCTGCTGCTGCTACAGCTATTGCTGCTACCCCTACAGCTGTTGCCACTGCTGTCACTGCTGCTTCTACCGCTATTACTACTGCTTCTACTGCTGCTTCTACCGCTATTACTACTGCTTCTACTGCTGCTTCTACCGCCACCACTCGAGCATTAGGTGCAGGTACAGCTACTGTTGGTTCTAAACTAGCTGCAGTTATAGGGCAGGACGTGCGCCGAACCTTCTCTGACACTAAAGAGGCCTCAGGATTGGTTACCGCTAGCACTAGTGGTAACCCGGTTACCGCTGCTGATGGTAACCCTGTTGTGGCACGTGTGGGTGGTGCTACCTCTGCTGGAGGAGAAGCAGCAGGAGGGAGAGAGGAGGGGAAGGGGAGGCGGAGGTCGTTGGATGGGGCAGGGGAATTGCGAGGAATGGAACGAGGGGAGCAAGGAGGAGGGGAGCGAGGAGGAGGGGAGCGAAGAGGAGAGCGAGGAGGGGAGCGAGGAGGAGGGGAACGAGGAGGAGGGGAGCGAGGAGGGGGAGGTGTCAGTGGGAGCTTCAAAAGAGCCGAGAGTGGAAGTGGAGGTTCAAAAGCCGTGCTTCGTCTTGGTCCTGCTGGTGGTGATGCTCCCAGAATCGGGGGCAGTGGGAGCTTCAAGAGGGTTGATAGTGGCGATGCTAACGCGAAGGCCATGCTTAAAACAGAAGGATCAGGAGGGAGTGAGAAATTCAAGAGGGCTGATAGTGCCGATGGTAGTGCGAAGGGCATGTTTAAGGCGGAGGGAGTAAGACTAGGAGGCAGTGGGAGCTTCAAGAGGGCTGATAGTGCCGAAGCCAGTGTAAAGGGCTTGCTTAAAGCAGACGGATCAGGAGGGAGTGAGAAATTCAAGAGGGCTGATAGCGCTGATGCTTGCGCGAAAGGCTTGCTTAAAGGCAAGGATGTGAGACGCGGAGGGAGTGGGAGCTTCAAGAGGGCTGATAGCGCGGATGCTAAGGGTGTTGTTCAAATTGAGGCTTCTAGGAAGGGGGGCAGTTGGGATTTTAAGAAGGATTGTAATAGGAAGGATAATGGTGGGGATAGTAAGAGGAATGGCAGTTGGGATCTTGCTAAGGGTAGTTTTAGATGTGAAGAGGCAGGTGGGGAGGAGAGAGAAGAAGGAACAGAGTCTGGTCAGGAAGGGATGGTCATTTCGGACATGGGTCAAAGCAAGGTAAGGGAAAAGGGAGTGTACGGGGATGGTGGTGATTTAAAGCAGAGACATGAGTTGGTGTGGGAGGAAATGCGGGAGGAAATTCAGAAGGAATTGCGAGAGGATATTGAGAAGGAGAGGGCGCGACTATGGGAGGAGATGCAGGCAGATGTAATGAACCAATTGGAGAGCAGGAAACAGGAGCTGCTTGCTGACGTGGCGAGGAAAGTTGATGCTGACGTGGCGGAGGAGTATGAGAGGATCAGGCAGCAACGGGCGGAGGAGATTAGGCAACAGGGCGAGGTTGAAGCAGAGGTTAGGGAATACCGAGCCAAGTTGATAGCTTCGGTAGAAGAGGAGGAGACGCGTTTGCGAGAGAATTTGAGGGAGAGTAAGGCTCGGGAAGTGGCTCGGGCCGAGCGTGAGGTTCGGCGGCTGCAGGAGGAACTGGAGGTTCGGGCGACCCAGGTGCTAGACTCGTTCCGAACCGACTTGCAGGTCCGGCTGGAAGGGGAGAAGCTGAAGCTGAGAAGAGAAGCAGTGCGAGCATTAGAGCGATGGAGAGAGGAACTTGAGATGAAGGTTCAGAGGAAGGTCCAGGGCATGAGGATGGAACTACAAATGAAGCTGGAAGCAACGAGAAGGGAGATGGAGGTGGTAATGAGAAAGAAAGTGGAGGAGGAGAGAGTGTGGCGACTGGAACGGCTGAGTCGGGAGTTGAGGGAGGAGGAGACCGAGCTGAGAAGAGGCTGGAAGGAGAGGATGGAGAGAGAGAAGCAGAGGGTTCTGGGAGGTGGTGGGTCAAGGCGTTCGTTTGATCTGACGGGAAAGTCAGCTCTGATGGGGCTGGGGAGTGAGAGGAACGGGCAAGGCGTGGGGCTGAACTTGAGAGAGGAGGAACAGAGAGTGCTGGGGGGCGCACCAAGGCATTCGTTTGACTTGACGGAAAAGTCGGCTCTGATGCTGGGCGGGGTGAGGAATGGACAAGGTGGGGGTTTGAACTTGAGAGAGGATGATCAGATGATGTTTGGAAACATGAGGAGTCCGAGAAGGGTTGGAGGAGTGATGGGGCAACAGCAGCAGCAGCAGCAGCGGCGGCGGCAGGTGGGGGAGGCATATGTATGGGATGGGTTTTTCGACATGGAGTCAGATTTTAGCCGAGATGGCTTGAATGGGAATGAGCATGGATATGGGCATGGGGATGGGGATGGGAATTGGAATGGCGATGGGGGTGTGTACGGATATGGGAATGGGGATGGGGTGGGGGAATTAGGGTTCCTCCTCACGTCCTCTCCAGGAGCCCGCCCTGAGCATAGGAGAGCGAGGGCAGGGGAGCAGGGGCAGCAGGTGGGAGGCAGTGCTGAGGGTGGATATGGGGTCGCCGCTGCTGCTTCTGCTAATGGTGCTGGTGGCGCTGGTATTGGTGCTGGTTCTGGTGGTGCTGCTGCTGGCGGTGCTGCTGCTGCCACTGCCACTAACAGTGGTAATGCCTCAGTTCCTGCAGCAGCAGCAGCAGCAGCAGCCGTTTCTCCCGCTCAAAACCTTGCTCCGTTTGAAGGGGCCCAATATGATTCCGGCAGCAATTTTGGGGAGAGCTCGTGCGAATTCATGCCAAGATTTTCTCTCAGGCAGGCCGGGCAGGTGGAAGGAAGCGTATTGGCTGGGGACTGGATAAGTGGGGGCCGGATTGGGCTGGGGTCAGGGGGGAGGAAATCGAGGAACCGGGGGAAAAGCAATCGGACGGTTGGGAGCGAATCTGGTCACGATCGGACGGTGGAGGATGCATTGAAAATGGGGAGCGGTGGAGGGTACTACTCGGCATGGGGTGATTCTGGTTCGGAGGAACTGGGAGAGCTGGGGAAGGGGGATCTGGGGAGGGCTCATCTACGGGTGCGGCGCAGAGGGGTTGAAAGCGGTGGAGGGGCATTTGATGATGGAGGAATCTCGTTCGGGTAAGTGTGTGTGTGTGTGTGTTTTTTTTTTTTTTTGGATGGACCCCGTTCAAATCTTGTTTTGACTTTCTTGCGTCTGTTTATTTTTGGCGAGTTAAACCAATCCTACATGTTCCCCCTATCTGATCAACCCCTTCCCTTCCCCTGTTCCCCCTACATCCCAATTTCCCCCTCCCCACCCCCCATTCGCCTCCCTCCCAGCGAGCGCGAGATCATGTTGAAACAAGCCAGGCGGTTTGCAGCGGAGCAACGGCTGAAGGAGCGAGAGGGGGTGCTGGAGGCGGCTAGGGCGCTTCAAGCCCCACATACTCCCCCACTCACCCCTTTCACTCCCCCTCTGCTTACCCGCGTTCCCCCATTCCCCGTCCCAAACCCACTCCTCTCCCTCTCCCCACTCCTCTCCCCCTACTCCCCTCCCTCCCAGGGAGCGCGAGATCATGTTGAAACAAACCAGGCGGTTTGCAGCGGAGCAGCGGCGGAGCTTGAAGGAGCGAGAGGCGGTGCTGGAGGCAGCTAGGAGGGACTGGAGGAGCCGTATGGAGGCAGTTGAAGAGGTGAGCAAGCTTGTGTGTGATGGTACTGAATGGTGTGGCCTTACTAGTGGGGTTTCGAGGTGTAAGGGAGCTTGAAGGAGCGAGAGGGGGTGCTGGAGGCGGCTATGAGGGACTGGAGGAACCGCATGGAGGCAGTTGAAGAGGTGAGGGGGGGCATGTGTGATTGTAATGAAGGCATGTGGGTAGTGAAGCCGTGTGATTGTACTCGTGGGGTCACAATGTGCCAGGGAGGTTGATTTTTGAGTCAATTTGAGTCGACTCAATGGGCTCAACTAGTGGGGTCACAATGTGCATGGGAGTTTGAAAGGCCAAGAGGCCGTGATGGAGGCGGCTAGGAGGGACTGGAGGAGCTGTATGGAAGAAGATTTAGTTTTGAGACGTCTCAGAGCTGTATGGAAGAAGATGAAGAGGTGAGTGAGGGCATGTGTGATTGTACTAGTGGGGATTTAAGGTGCAAGGGAATGAGAGGTCGTGACAGACGCGTATAGGAGAGACTGGAGGAGCCGCATGGAGGCAGTTCAAGAGGTGAGGGGGGGCATGTGATTATAGTGAAGGGGTGTGCTTGTTGCGAAAGGGGTGTAAGTGTGGGTAGAAAGCAGAGTGGTTGTTGCGGAAGGGGTGAAAAATAGCCTTCTCCCTTTCTCCCCTTCTTCCCCTCTTCATTCTCAACTACCCTGTCTGTCTTCCTCTCCCCCGTACCTTGCAGCACTCCGACCCCGATGAGAAGAGGCGGAAGGTGCAGCACTTGATGTTTATCCGAGCCACGTTGGACAGACCAACCACCCTCTCTCCTTGCTTCCCTCCTCGTTCCCCCACCTGACCCTCCCCATTCTTGCAGCACTCCGACCCCGATGAGAAGAGGCGGAAGGTGCAGCACTTTGGACCAGCACGAGAGGGAACTGAATGACGATGCCAGGATCGTCAAGCAGATCAGAAAGAGCTTTCTCTTATTCTCTTCCACTTCTAGCCCTCTCGTTCCTCCTTTATTCTTATCGTTCTTCCCACCCTCCCCTCTATCCCCCATTCCCATTCTCCCCTCCCTGCCCTTGCAGCTATCGGATCTGGATGAGAAGAGGCGGAAGGTGCAGCACCTGATGTTTATCAAAGCCACGCTGGACCAGCACGAGAGGGAGTTGAATGATGATGCCAGGAGCGTCAAGCAGCTGAGAAAGAGCTTAATTGCCTTCTCCCGAAATGCGGCTTCTGCTGGTAGTGGTGGCGGCGGCGGCGGCGGTGGCGGCGGTGGTGGTGGTGGTTTAAGTGGCAGTGGACTCTTAAGTGCCAGTGGTGGTCTAAATACGGAGGAAGGGTTTTGGGCTGGGAGTAGGGGAGGGGGTAGGGAGCGAGTGGGCGGAGGGATGGGAGGAGGGATGGGAAGGGCGGTTGGTGGTATTTCTGGAAAATACTTAGGCATCCCGCCAGGTGGCGGCGTGCGATTGGACCAGAACCGCCCGTTGGTCAATTTCCCGCCTAGTGCCATCGTGTCCCCAGCCTCGTCGTTTGCTTCGATAACGAACCAAGAAGGGAACCCGGACCTGAGCGACGTGAGCTACAACTCAGGTTCGGGGCTGAGAGTCCCTGCTGAAGCTTGTGCAGCGGGTGCAGCTGGTGCAGCGGGTGCAGCGGGTGCAGCGGGTGCTGGGGGTGCTGGGGGCTCTGGGCGCGTTTCGTCTCCCTTGTCCTCTCCTGTGAGACGAGAGATTGGGAGGAGCATGCTTGGTTTCGAGTCTCCTAAACGTGATTCTCCCCTGCCTTCTCCTGTGCGGAAAGAGGTTGGAGGGAGCATTTTTGGGGTGAAGGGTGAAGAGAGGAGGGTCGACGTGGGGAAGGGCACTACTGGTTTGACTGCTGCTGCTGCTGCTGCTGCTGCTGCTGCTGCTGCTGCTGCTGCTGCTGCTGCTACTGCTGGTGCTGGTGGTGGTGCCGTTGCTACTGGTGGTGCTGGTGCTCGTGCTGGTGGTGGTGGCGATGCTGCTGGTGCTGGTATTGGCAGCAGCCAAGGGATTGGTCTGAAAGCGCAAGGGCGAAGTGTGGGGGCCGGAAAAGGTAGAGGGGAAGCAGGAGGGAGGGTGGAGGAAAGCGGAGCAATGGCTGGAGAGGCAAAGAAGGCAAAGAACACCGCAAGAGGTGTTGCTGATAACCCTCCACCGAGAATGACAACAACTGTGAAGGAGGGGAGGCGGGGAGAGGGTGACGGGAAGTGGGGAGAAGGGGGGAGGCGGGGAGTGGGAGAGGGGATGAATGCAAGTGGCCAAGGAAAAAATGCCACTGCTTCTAAAAGAGGGCCGGCTTTCGTTGGGATGGCAGCAACAGCAGCAGCAGCAGCAGTGACAAGACCAATGGAAGGCCAATCAATGCAGCAGTCAACCCAAAACGAGCCTACGTGAGCTTGCGTTCTTACCCTGTTTATTTTCTCCTCCCATTCTTGTTCTCTTTCACTCCTCGTTTGTCTCCCTCGTCCTCTCCCTTTCTCTTCGCTCCGTCTGCTCTCTGATCTCTTCTTTTTTTTCTCATTCTCGTGCTTTCCTTATTATGCCTTCCCTTTCCATCTCTCCGCCTGCGCTCCATTTTCCTTGTTACGTTGTCCTCGACTCACTCTTCTTGCTTTCCCTTCTCTCCCACTGCCTCCCCTTAACTCTGGTTTTTTTTGCCTCCTATGTTTGCCAGTCAAACGTTGAAAGCTGGCTGTAGCAGCACAAGCAGGGCTTTGGGGGTTGTGTCTGGGGGGCAATCACTGGGGAGAGGGACTGGAGGGGGTGTGGTGGGGGGAGCAACTGGAGCAGGGACAGGTGTTTTGTGAGGTGCCTCAAAGGCGGTAGCAGCACAAGGGGGGTAGTGGGCTGTGGGGGTGTGACGGGGGAAGGGCAGGCATTGGAGGCAGGGACCAGGGGAGGTGTGGTGGGGGGAGCAACTGGAGCATGGGCAGGTGCACTATCGGGAAAAGCAGGAACAGCAGCAGCAGGAGTACCGTAGCAGGAAATGCAGCAATAATCATCAGTCCTCCTAACCCCAACACCTACAGCAACCCAGCAGCAGCACTGTTTGAAACAGGGCCAGCGGAAATGGTACCTGTGTGGTATTCTCTCTGGAAAAAAACAATATTTACCTCGGCAGGTTTGAAACAGCAGCCACAGCAACATTCGCATCGGGGCGATGCACCGTTGTATTATATATGTTCATTTGTTTCCATTTAATTTATTTTATTTGTTTCGAACAGTTGCTTTGGCCTATGCAATGGATCTTGAACATTGATCTTGTTCTTGCTCTGCAACAATTATGTGTAATCTTAACAAAAATATGTAATCTTAACAACAATGGTGTTACGGTACCTGTGTTTGTAAGAACCCACTGCACCGGGCATGCCACGTTTATATGCTTTTCTGGGCAATAACCTACCTAGCATAAAATATGAGTGTACATAAGAAGCCAAGTATGGTACTGACTGACTGATGATGATAATGGTACTTGCTGTTGTCACTGCCGATGATACTGGCACTGCTGTTGCTACTGCTGCTGTCGCTGCTGCCATTGTTGCTGCTGCTGCCATGGCTGGTGGTGAAATGTTGGCATCTGTTGCTGTTGGTAGCTTACCTGTTGCTGTTGAAATGTGTTGTGCTGGTAGTTAACTGGCTGCTGCTGGTAGTTCGGCTGTTGCTGCTGTGGGAACGATTCATGCTGTATGTGCTGCATCTGGCCCAATGGGGAATAACCCTGTTGTTCTGACCCTTGCTGCATCGGTCCTAATGGGGAATAGCCCTGTTGCCCTGACCCTTGCTGCATCGGTCCTAATGGGGAATAGCCCTGTTGCCCGGACCCTTGCTGCATCGGTCCTAACTGGGTGTAACCTTGTTGCCCTGACCCTTGCTGCATCAGCGCTTGAGAATATCCCTCGAAAGCATAACCTCCTGCTGATGGGAGTGGTGCTGGTGATGCTGCTGCTGCTGCGTGTGGTTGTGCGTGTGGTTGTGTGTGTGGTTGTGTTGCGGTGAGTGCAGCTCCCAGGGATGCCATGTTGGGGAAAGGTGCCTGTGGGGATGGGGACTGGGAGAGGGATAGAGGGGGAGGGGAGCTTGGCTGTGCGTGTGGTTGTGTGGTCTCAAGAGAAGCTCCCAGGGATGCCATTTTGGGGAAAGGTGCCTGTGGGGATGGGGACTGGGAGAGGTGAGGAAAGGGTGGGATGGGGGAAGAGATGGCGTGAGAAGGGACAGAGGGGGAGCTTCCTGTGGTTTTGTGTTAGGTCCTGTGGGTGGTTGTGTGGCATCGAGAGCAGCTCACAGCGATTCCATGTTGAGGAAAGGTGCCTGTGGGGATGGGAACTGGGAAACAGGAAGCAGTGTGAGGAAGGGGGGGGCTAATGAGAACTGGTAGTGGGAAGGACTAGGAGGGAACTAACAGCCCTTCATTCTGCAGGGGGTGTTCTTTGGAATTCTGGAGAAAAATAATAATGAAAAAGGCTGGGCAGGGAACTGGCTGGCCGTACTTGCGAAACATTGTTATGAAAAAGAAAGGAGGAAGGAGAGAAGGAAGAAAAGAAAGAGAAATAAGAAGACAGGCACGAAAGAAAAAAAACTGTGAACGAAATGTGAAGGAATAAAATAAGTAACACTGTGTGTGTGGGAACATACCAATCCGGGTGACCCCAACGGTGATGGTCCCATCCCAGGGCTTCCCATGACACCTGCAGGGCTTCCCATGACGCCTGCAGGGCTTCCCATGACGCCTGCAGGGCTCCACATCGCAGCTCTTCCGTTGCCCATTGCTCCCCCCCCTGGGCTCCCCATAGCCCCCCCTGGGCTCCCCATTGGCCCCCCTGCGCTTCCCAGAACCCCACTTGGCCTCCCCATCGCTCCCCCTGGGTTTCCCATAGCCACCCCTGCGCCCCCCATCACCCCTCCTGGGCTGCCCATTGTTCCTCCTGGACTTCCCATCATTCCCCCTGTCCCCCCCATAACCCCGCCTGAGCTCCCCATCACCCCTCTAGGACTTCCCATAACCCCCCCTGGGCTCCCCATAACCCCCCCTGGGCTCCCCATAACCCCCCCTGGGCTCCCCATAACCCCCCCTGGGCTCCCCATAACCCCCCCTGGGCTCCCCATAACCCCCCCTGGGCTCCCCATAACCCCCCCTGGGCTCCCCATAACCCCCCCTGGGCTCCCCATAACCCCTCCCCCCATCAACCCAGCTGCACTTCCCATAACCCCTCCTGGACTCCCCATACCTCCCCCAGCGCTCCCCATACCCCCTACTGGACTTCCCGTCACTCCTCCTGCACTCCCCATCACTCCCCCAGGGCTCCCCATAACCCCGCCCTGAGGGTATGGGTGTGATTGTAAGGGCGGGGACTGGTATGGGTGGGACTGTGTGGGAGGAGATTGGAACGAGTGTGATTGTGAGGGAGGGAAGGGATGTGACTGTATCGGAGGGGACTGCACTGGGGAGAACGCCTGTGCATAACCCCCATTAGCTTGTAATCCATAGCCCTGCCCCTGCCCTTGCCCATATCCCTGTTCCTGTCCCTGAGCCTGAGTCGATAAGTGAAACTGTCCCTGTCTTTGCATCTGAATGAATAATTCAGCCTGCCCCTGCCCTTGCCCCTGTGCCTGGGTTACTTGAAACTGCCCTTGCCCAACCTGGGTTACTGATTGGAACTGCCCCTGCCCGGCCTGGGTTACTGGCTGAAACTGCCCCTGCCCCTGTGCCTGCATCCCATAGCCCTCGTACCCTAGTGGTGATGCGGATAGCTGCGCTTGCCCATAGCCCATGGATCCATATTCTGGGCCAAGAGAAGGGGCATTCCCTGAGATCAATCGCATAGCTGGTGCAGGTACAGGTGGCATGGGGCTGCTATCAAAATGCGCCCAGGAGGCAAAACCATTGGCAATGCTGCTGCTGTCGCCACCGCTGCTGCTGCTCTCTTTTTCCACTGCTGCTGCTGCTGCTGTTCCTGCTGCCGGCGCCGCCACTGCTCCTTCTGTGGCTGCTGCTGTGTCTACTTGCGCTGGCACTTGCGTTTGCCCCTGCAGCACCGTGGGCTGATGCTGCTCCCCACCCCCTGTTGCACCCTCCGTCTGCTCCTGAAGCTGCCACTGCTTGGGAGCCGGCACGGGGGCAGCAGGAGGCAGAGTGAGGCTATCCCCATCCCCTTCATCTGAAAAGTCAATCAGGTTACCTAGAGGAGCCAGTGGTGCTGATGCTGGTGCTGCCGTTGATGCTGCTGCTGCTCCTGCTGCAGTTGCTGATGCAGCTGCTGCAGGTGCTGGCACAGGGCTGGCAGGTGCTGATGAAGGGATTTGAGATGCAGGAGCATGGGCAGCAGCAGGCGGAGAGGCAGCGAGAGAGGCAGACACAGAGGGCGTAGAGGAGGGAGAACCGGGAAGGGCTGAAGGCGAGGACGCAGTTTGATACACGTGTGAGCTGCCCCGTCCCGGCTCGCTGTGATACACTCTCAACTCGACTTCGTCCCCTAGCAGGTCGCTCACAGGCCGCACAGGCGCATCCACCCCATCACTGCTGCTTGAGATGTTGGAGAACCTAGTGCTATTCGTGCTGCTGCTGCTGCTAGGGAATCTCGCACTAGTGCTGGTGCTGGCGCTGGTGTTGCTGTTGGCAGAAAGAGAAGGGGATTTGCGTGGTGGTAGAGCGTTCTGCTGCTGCTGCTGCTGCTGCGGTTGTTGCTGCTTGTGGTTGTGGGAAGGAGGAAGCGTGGGGGAGAAGGAGAGGGAGGCCCGGGCACTGCTGCTGCGTTGGAGGTCAGAGGGCTGCGGGAAGGAGGCGGAGGGAGAACCATCCATAGAGTGGGTTCGGCCTGAGGGAGAGCTCTGAGAGAGGCAGGGGGGTTGGGAAGGGGAGGGGAGGGAGTGAGGTAAGGTAGGAAGCGGAGGGAGAACCGTCCATAGAATGGGTTCGGCCTGAGGGAGAGCTCTGGATGAGGAGGGTAAGGATGGGTGGGTGCGGGAGGAGGGGATGGGGAGGGAGCGGGCGGAGAAAGGTGGGGAGAGAGTGAGAGAAGAAATGAGGCGAGATGTGCAGGATGAAGGAGAGGGAAGCATGGTTGCTGCTATGCTACTCCGTTGGAGGTTGGAGGGAAGGGGGAACGGAGTGGAGGGTAGAAAAAAAGAAAGAAGAGGAAATTGACGATACAGGTGGGCCTTGGTTACATGTGTTATGTTAGTAAGCACATATGTGCATGCACATGCTACCCCTTCTCCCCCCAAACACACACACACATACACACACACACACATACACACACACACACACATACACACTCACGCGCGCGCGCGCGCACACACACACACAAAAGCTGATGTTGATGTCATCAGCACCATCACCATCGCCACTGCCCATCATCATCATCACACACCTCTCGTGAGTTCCTCCCCACATATCGCCTTTCCACAAAGACCGCTCGAATAAACTCCCTCACTGACTGGGGGTCACTGGAGTGGTGAGGGAGGGGGGAGGGGGGGGGGGCGAAATTTAGGCAAAAGGAAGGTACAAGGGTCGGGAAGAGGGAAGGGAAGGGAAGAGGGCATGGTGGGCAGTGCTGGGCTGACCCTCAAGCTGGAAAGCTGGATGGAACAATGCATACGGCAGACACAGGCACCATTTCTCAGAGATTCATTTGTGGTTAGCAAGGGCTTGCCTGACCCCCGAACAGGGCTGCAGAACAATGAATCTATGTGCACGGGAGTCAGAACAATGAATCTATGTGCACGGGAGTCAGAACAATGAATCTATGTGCACGGGAGTCGGAACAATGAATCTATGTGCACGGGAGTCAGAACAATGAATCTATGTGCACGGGAGTCAGAACAATGAATCTATGTGCACGGGAGTCAGAACAATGAATCTATGTGCACGGGAGTCAGAACAATGAATCTATGTGCACGGGAGTCAGAACAATGAATCTATGTGCACGGGAGTCAGAACAATGAATCTATGTGCACGGGAGTCAGAACAGGGGTGCAGAACTGACGCACTCGTCAATGACTCACTTGCTGTTGGGAGGGGCACGGCCGCCCCCCAGGAGAAAGTACTCTCGCGCCCGCTGTGAGAAAGAGAAGGGGAGAAGGGCGGCAGAAGGGGGGAATTGGGGGAAATGGAAGAGCCACAGGAGGCAGTAGTCAGTCAGTGACTCACTTGCTGTTGGGAGGGGCACGGCCGCCCCCCGGGAGAAAGTATTCAAGCGCCCGCTGTGAGAAAGCAAGGAGGGAGGCGGGGGAGGGGTGGATGGAAGAAGGAGAGGAGAGGGCACTGCATTTCTCACCAGCAACCTGTGATTACGACTAACTGAGATGGAACCAGGAACCACCACCTACTTGCCTTTCTTCCTACCATCATTCTGGTTACCACACCTCAACTGGTTACCAGTTTCCTCACCCGGTTACCACCTCTCACCCAGTGACCACCGACCGCCCAGTAACCAAGTTACCAGCTCTCACCTGGTTGGCTCCTTGCTGCAGCGCCGCCCCCTCTTTACGCGTGACCTAGTCCATTGATACTGACTTACTTGAAAAGACGGATCAACTGAACTCCCATCTGGTTACCACCTTCCTGGTTAACACCTCCCTGGTTACAAGTTATCTGGTTACCAGCTCTCACCTGGTTGGCTCCCTGCTGCAGTGCCGCCACCTCAGGCGTGAACTTGGCCGTTGACACCGATTCGACCTGATGGCTGAACTCCCATCTGGTTACCACCTGCCTGGTCACAGTCGCCTGGTTATCAGGTTACCAGCTCTCACCTGGTTGGCTCCCTGCTGCAGTGCCGCCACCTCTTCTGGTGTGAACGTGGCCATTGACACCGACTTGACCCGATGATTGAACTCCCGACTGCAAATGGCACCATGCAAAAATAATAAAACAGCAGCTAAGTAGCATATACATACGACTTATATTGAAAAAAAAAACAACAACAACAACAGTCGCGCACTAACACATCAATTTGGAAGGTGAGAGAAATATGAATTGCCGTGCACTTGAGGGGACATGGGAAACATTGAAAGGACAGCACAAAGCAGACAGTCAAGGTGGAACAGAGAGGTCACTCAACTGGACACCGCTGCATGAAGGGCAGACGAAGATGCTGTAGTTGGTGCAAACATACTGAGGGCCCTGGGGGGTTGTGGTGTGCAGTGTTAGTGAGAGAGAGGAAACGGAAAATTGATGACAATGAGTCGTATGTTGCGGCATTATGGCAGGGGAAGACGTTAGAGTTAGTGTAAACGAATGTGATTTTTTACTGACGTGAAATTTACACAGTGGCATGGCATAGTCACGGCAATGACATCACCTTACATGAGTTTGACAGAACACTGACATAACGATGACAGAACACTGACATAACGATGACAGAACACTTACAGAACGATGACAGAACACTGACATAACGATGACAGAACACTGACATAACGATGACAGAACACTGATAGGACGATGACAGAACACTGACATGACACTGACACCACATTGTCATGTCATGAATTTGGCAAGACGTTGACATGGCAGAAAGCATTGGCATGACAATGGAAACCCATTGACATTACATTGACACGGCAGCGAGGGGCGATTGACAAAATTTTACATCACATTGATACGACACTGACATGATATTAACACTAAATTATCATATTATGACAAGACTGCTTCGGCAATGAGAAAGCAATGGCATGGAGGACACGGCAAGAAGCAGGTACCAGGCTGTTGCAATTGAAGCATTTCCGGTTGTCCGGGAGCTTCATCAATGCGCGAATGATCTTCTCGTGCTTCTCGACCTCTCTCATCGTGAACACCGCGACGTCCGCGAAAAATCACGAATGTTACAATGACCACGAACGATCGCGTATGACCGCGAGCGACCGCGAACGACAATGACGAGGTCCCTCTCGACGACTTTGACGACGACGACGACAATGACGAGGTTCTTCTTGATTTGAAGGCTACCGTCGCGAGCTCGTTCCCCCTATTCGCAACTTCGTTACCGAAAGTTACCCCACTATAAAGAACCAAGTAATTGAATTCTAAACAGATCGTCGTTAGTGTTCCTCGACTGGCCTAGGATTGCCTCGGTTGGCTCGCACTGGACTAGGAAGAACAACTGTTGGACGAGTCATGAAAGAGTAGGACTGCTTGAGCTGCTACAGAGTCTCACAGACTGAGCTGCGAGGGATGCGGTGAGTTCAAGGATTCCGTCAGAAATATTCCGTCTGTAGGAATGGTGTACAGGGACTTGTTGACGACAACCATGCAGGTTGGGATTGGCTGCGAGAAGGATTGCGAAGAAACGAATTCCTGAGGGAAAAGTAACCAGGCTGTGCGAGAAAGGTGCCCCCTCTAGAAGATTCGGTAGTCGCTGGACAGCATTGCCATGGGAATTACACGTGTAGTTTTGTAAGGATTTTTTCTGGGGAAAGTCCATCCCAGCTCCTTAGTTTCAAAAATATCTCAAATTTAGTTCCAAGTTTACCCAAAAAGTCACCTTAGTGGAATTTCGCTCACGCGAGGCCCACATTATGTTCAAATCTGGTCCTGTGGGGCAAACATTTCGAAGCGTGTCCATTTCGCAACAATATTTGTTTTGACGAAGCAAAAAGCAATAATACCCCTAAGAAAACAGGACACATTTTCGGGAGGGATCAATCAACCCTAAACACCAGGCGGGTTCCCGTGTTTAGGGTGGATCCCTCCCGAAAAATTGTCCTGATTTCCCTAGGAGTTTTATATTTTATGCCCTGTAAAAAATCCTGCTGCAGACACGTGTCGAAATGTTAGCCCCGCAGGACCAGTTTTGAACACAATTTGGGCATCGCGTGAGCAAAATTCCACAAACTCATACATTTTTAGTAAACTTGGGACTAGATTTGACAGAAAAAGGAAAATCAGGAGCTGGTAGCGTAAGCCCCCGGATAGTAGCGCCCCTGGGGGTATAAAAAAACGCATTTTTTTAGGGGATGCGCTTATAATCAAGGAAATTTATAAGCGCCGGCGTTTATAAAATGGCAAAAATGAAAGGTATTGTTTTAACATGAAATTGAAGCTTTTCCAAAAGGGGATTCAATCCACATCTAGAACGTTCGTATCCGTGCATGAAAAGTGCGTGAAATGGCCAACAAGGTGTGGAATCACGCCCATCACGCCTTGCTGGCCTGGCCAGATTCATCAAACATGAATCTGGCCCATGCTAACGCACACGTAGTTTAGGGTGCGACTGCCCAATCAGGGTCGCATGCCGTGCCAGGCACGACTCTGTACAACCACGCAATTGGCAGAAGCGGCAAGATTCCACTCCACCGAGGCATTGACCTCACCACCTCAGCTCATCTGCGGGGGGATCTTGACAGTTTTCCCCCTTTCCCTGTAGAGGAACCCGGGCCGCGAAGTTGGAGGGGTCTCGGGCGAGGGTTTCAAACGAGGCTCATTCTCATCGTTTTCTTCAGTTTTCTTGTTTTCCCTCGGCCTGCCTGGGCCATGGCGGGCCTTCCAGGCACTCACTTCCTCTTTAGCCGTCGACCTGCTGTTGGCAACACTCGCGATTACTCTCAGTGGCAGAGTCGCCCAGCGCCTCCTGCTCCTCCAGCGCCTCCTACGCACAAGCGCAACTCCTACACTTCCCAGGAGAAGCTGCAGTGGATCGCAAAGTTGGAGTCCGGAGCTGTGAGTGTGCGGAGAATGTCCCACGACACTGGTATCTCCCGAAAGTCCCTGCCAGAGTGGAAGTCGCGGAAGGGTGAGCTGGAAGGTGCGCATGGGGCTCGCAAGCGCCTTCACGGGCGTGGTCGCGCGTCGTGGTACCGCGACATGGAGATCGAGGTGTACTCACGTGTTCTTGCCCACCGGAAAAAGTGTCTCGCCGTGTCTGTCGGTCGATTGCAGAAGTGGTCACATGATGTGATGAAGATCCTACATCCTGAGGTAAAGTGGGCTGGATCTCAGAGGTGGACTGAGCGTTTTCGACGGCGCTGGAACCTCACTACCCGAGCGAAGACCAGAGTCGGCCAGAAGCTGTCGTCTGGTGAGTCGGTGTTTGTGTTGTCGCTCTCGTTTATGGCTGCTTACGACCTTCGAGATTCTAATTTTCTTCTTTTGTTTCTCTCCCACCCTTCCCTTGTAGAGTGTGAGACACAGGTGCAGAACTTCTGGAAGTTCGTGCGACACTCCCGCTGACAGTACGGCATCGACAACCGTTGGATTATTAATGCCGATCAAACGCCACTCTGGCTCGAGATGCCTGCTGAACGCACGGTCGAAGAGGTGGGGATCTGCTCCGTGCCCATCCGCAGCGGCGGCTATCAAAAAGAACGCGTGACGGTGATGCTCGCCTGCACCACCAGCGGCGATAAGCTCAAGCCTTGGGTCTTCTTTAAGCGCAAGACAATTCCTAAGGGGAATTTCCCCTCCGGTAAGCCGAGCAGATTGTGCAGTGACGATGTCATTTGCATGTGATGATTTTTATTAATGTCTGCTAATCTGTCTGTACGCCTTGTACGGATGTGCAGATGTTGTGGTCGCCGCACATCCCAACGGTTGGATGGTGTGAAAATGAGAACGAGAATGAATGAACTATGAAATGAAGTGAGTACAAATATGAAACCCTAATTGGTTGTACCCCCTATGGGATACCCCACTATAGCCTACATAACAGCATAAGCTACAATGTTCTGACACACCCCCATAGGCAAAGTGGGGGAGAACAAGGGGTCACAAGACCAGTCAAGCAAAGCAAAGCAAAGGAAAGCTCAGGGTGGATCACAAAGTCACCACACAGTCCGAGCACAGGGTCAAGGCCACACGGCCAGTTCACATGCAAGAGTACACACATATATATATAAAGCTAGACAAGCAAGAGCAGGTATATATATATGTGAGAGTACAGGCAAGGTCAAGAGGAGAGCAAGTGAGGCAAGACGGGCACAAGACCCAGCTGAGTGCAGAAGCGCTGATGATCACAAGACGGAAGTGCCTTGGTGAAGACATCAGCAGTGTTGGCCTCAGAGGCCACGTACGCTAGCCGTAACTGACCACGTTGCTGTAGCTCACAAGCAAGGAAGTAGCGGAGAGCAATGTGCTTTGTTCTGTGCTCCAGTCGCTGCTCTCGACACAAGGCCAGCATGGCCTTGTTGTCTACGTACAGGACTGGAGGAGAACGAGGCGGCTCTCCAAGGTCGGTCAGCAGGTAGGTGAGCCAGCGAAGCTCCTGTGCAGCCATGGCCCCGGCGTAGATCTCAGCCTCACAACTCGAGCCAAGAACAGAAGACGAGCGAGTAGCCCGCCACGAAACAGAGCCGGAACCAAGGCTGAAGGTGTAACCCTGTGACGACCGCTGCGTAGCCTGGTCGTCAGCCCAAGAAGCGTCCGCGTGCCCAGTGAGGACCACTGGACTCCGCCCTCCAAGCACTAGCCCCATGCCCGACGTACTGCACAAGTAGCGCAACACCCTCTTCGCTGCAGCCATGTGCTCTGGTCTGTGTCTCCCAGGAGCAACATAGCGTGCAAGAATGCCAAGAGGGTATGCAAGGTCAGGTCGTGTGCAGGTCATCAGGTACATGAGGCAGCCAACAAGCTCTGGGTACGGGCCACTCGACTCTACGGACTCATCCGAAGGCAGAGCTGAGAGCGAGTGGCGAGTAGACAGAGGAGTGGCCTGAGGCGAGGAGTACGTGAAGCCGAAGCGCTGAAGGACCTGCTGCACCATGTGTGACTGAGTCAGGGTAATGGTGCGGCGTGCTCTGTCCCGGGTGATCTGCAAGCCAAGGTAGCTGCGCAGTTCACCCAGGTCTGTGCACGTGTGTCTCTTCTGCAG